GGCGCTATTTTATTTTTAAGTCCTCTGTATACCCCACATGGGGCTTGAACTCGTGACCCAGAGATCAGGAGCGGCCTGCTCCTCTGATGGAGCCGGCCAGGTGCCCTCGGGCCAGGATTCTTGAGTTCTTCCTCTGCTTCAGCCCGTCAGGCCCCAGAGAGATGCTGTCTGCTCCCTGAAGAGCCGCTTCTTGTCTGCCTTCCCAGGGTCTTCCCTTTCTGCCAAACTAAGACAGTGAAGTCTCTCGGGGGCTTTGCTCTTTCCCCGTACCTGGCCTGGGGGAGGAAGAGGTTAGGTGGGAAGCCCGCAGAGGCGAGAGGGAGGCCCCTCGGCACCCCGGTCGGCTCAGCGCACCCGTGTCCCTCGCCACAGGCTAAGGAGCGGGAGCTGGAGCTGAAGAACACGTGGTCGGAGAACAAGCTCAGCCGCCGGCAGACTCAGGCCAAGTACGGGTTCTAGGGCTCCGGACCCGCCGCCCCCGCGCTCCTGCCGCCCGGCCTCACCTCGGGGACCCTGCTGCTCCAAGCCCAGGCTCTCTGTCCCTGAGGCCCCGGCCCTCGCCTCTGCGAGAATGAACACATTTGATGGATTTTTCTTAACACAAGTTAGAAAATTCAGCTCCTCTGCCTCGGAGCTAGCAGAGACTGGAGCGACGCTGCGGATGGGGCTCTGAGCTCCTGCACGGCGCGGCTCCCTGGTGGGGGTGATGAAACGGGAGCCCCTCCTCCCTCCACTTTCTTTCTCCTTTTTTTTTTTTTTTTTTTAAAAACCAGGGATGTCTGTTGAAATAAAACATTCAGTCTGACAGACTTGGCTTGCCCTCAGCCCTTTCCTACTTTTTCGTGTGGTTTTGTTCTTTCCATTCTGGATCTTTCTCACTTGTTTGCCCGTTCTGGATCTGACGTTACCCCTGCAGTGCACGTCTGCACCGTCAGGGGCTGCCTCAGCGATCGCTCTGCCTTCTCCTCTGTGCCCACCTTCTAAGCCGCGTTCACGGCCAGTGAAGACCCTGGGAATTACATGTATGAGTTTGTGTGGGGCACAGGCCTGTGGTCCCAGATCTGTAAAGTGTTGCTGGTCTCAGGTGTCTCTGAAGACGAGAGGTCAGGGAGGTTCTTCCCGAGACACGAGAGTCGTTAGCAAATTCAGTGCCGCAACAGAAGCGGCCAGTGTCTGTCCCCGAAGACGATGTGCGTTCACACTGGCTGCCCTTGGCCTTGACCGGTTTGGAAGCCTTGCAGAGGGCCTCGGGGCCAGACAGATCTCCTTGGAGACTTCTGCATCCTGAACTTTGTGCTAGAGATGGAGGGGGCAGCAGGGTCACGGCCTCAGTTCGTGCTTCTGCACCAGGGTGCCCACCAGCAGCACGCGGTTCCAGCGCGGGGGGGCGGTGCAGGACATGAAGGCCCAGGTCGGGGAACCGCGCCGGTCCTCGTACACACTGCCGTGGAGCGTGTTCTCGAGGGCACCGGGGCTCCGGCAGGGCTGTGCCCCGGCGGCTTCCTGTTCCCTCCACGAGGGCATTGGCGGAGTCCTGCGAAGGGCCTGGTACCCGGCCCGGGGCGGGGAGCTGACCAGACGCAGCAGCTCGCGTCTAGCTGCTGCCCGCTTCTCCACGGGGGCAGCTGGAAGCCAGTGGTGCCGGGACCTGGGCTGGGAGGGAGGTTGCAGGAGGGAGGCTCTTGCCGGCCGGTTGTGCGGGCGGGTAAGTCTTGGAGTCTGTTTCTCATTAAGTACACGGGAGGCTATCGTCACTTACAGGAAAACCACCCACTTATCTGAAATCTGACCCACTTCGGGTTGGAGCCAGACAGGGCTCTTGCATCCCGCAGGGACACTGGGGCTGAAGTGGTCCAAATCCGTGCATCCAGCCCGTCTTCAGGAAGGAGCAGCAACCCACCAGCGCTTCTACGGCGGGTGCACGGAGGCACGGGGTTGGGGGGCGGTGGCCGGGGTCACCTCCTGGGCTGTCGTAGGTGGTGGGCTAGGCTCCACGGCCCCAGGTGTGAGATCCCGAGGAGCCAAAGGCTTTGTCGGCTGCGCCCTGGACGCTGCTGATCTAGCCCTGCCCCCTGGCTCGCCACGTCCCTGGGCCTCGAGGCCCCGCGTGATGGAACTGCAGGGTCTCTGGGCACCGAGGGTCCCAGCGTCTTCTGGAAGTGTGTGGACTTAGGCCAGTTTCTGTAAGCCTCTGTGTTCTACAGAAGCCTTTCACCACTTTTTTTTTTTTACACCACTTTTTTTAAAGCCACTTTTAGTCCTACCAAATGTGACATTTTATTTGGCAGATGTAATTTCCTGGTCACCAAGAGAAATGCAGATTAGCAATGGACAGTCCTCATTTGGGAAGGCTTCTCGGAGGTGGGGGCCTCAAGTTCTGATAAACAGAGAAGACACCAGGACGGCAGAGAGGAGGAGGAATGGAAATGATACTTGGCTAAAGCTGGTCCGGCAGCACCAGCCGAGGGGGCAGAGGGAGGAATGGATCCAGGTCTCCCTAGGGGCCCCCAGGAAGGGCTGGCCTGTGTTCCGGGGGCCCGGTGTGGCATTGACTAGGACAGCAGAGCCGGGAAGCTGAGGTCCCTAAAAGTCAGAAACTGCACAGAGATGGCAAGGCTGTCACGGGCTGCCTCCCTCAAGGCTCTGGACCCTGGAGAAGGGCCTGCTCAGGTCCCGCCCCTGGCTGGGTGCTGTGCCTGCTGTCGGAGAACCCTCAGTCCCTTGTGGGGACGGATGAAGTTCTGGGGAACCCAGGGAGGCCGTGAGGACGCGAGAGTGTGTGGTGCAGGCTGCCCGCAGCTGCGTTGGCCTCCGATTCCCCCGCCCAGCTTTGCTTCAGGTGGGGACAGACGTCCTAGGTCGCGGTGGTTGAGGGTAGGGTGCACCAGGACAGAAGGGTCTTGGTGTTCACCCCCAGCTGGACTTCTAGGGCTCCTCCCTGAACGTGCGCTGCGGGAGCCGCGGGAGGTGCGGAGAAGCGGCGGGAGCACTCAGGATGAGGGGGACCGCTCCGGAAAAGTGCAGACAGCTGTCAGGGTCAGCCTCGGTGCTGGAGGGTAGAGCCTTCCTCAGGCTCAGGCTGGGCTGGGATGTCCTCTCCCAGCACTGAGTGCCCCAAGCCCAAGGAAGCCCTCCTGCGTGGAGGGCAGGGTGGGGGGGCTGGAAGGACCGTGGGGGATGGAGCCGGCTGGTAAATGCCCTTCCCCGTGGCAGCAGGGTCCCCGGCTGGGGAGGAGCCCCCCCCCTCCTGCTGCTAGCTACTTCTAGGAGTTCTTAGCTTCTCTGTCCTGGGGCCCGCAGGACAGCACCTCGGATCGGCACCCCACCTCGGCTCGGGGAAGGGGGCAGGGTGGTGAGCCGGGGAGACATCCCCCACCGGGGTCTGGGGGGGCTGGGCCTGCAGCTGGAGCCCCTGCGAGGACTGGGGGCCCTTATCCTTTGATATGGGAGGGACCCCTGGTGCACAGGATTGGGTTGGCCAGATGTGGGCCTGACTGCCCCCAGCTCCCTGTCACCTCCCCTCTCTGGACCAGTTTCCTACTTGGGGGAACCAAAAAGAAAAGCAGTCACGAAGGGTCTGGTGTGCCCCGGAGCCCCAGCAGTCCTGCTTCCATGAGCCCCTCACTTGCACGGTCTCTGACCTGGGCAGCAGCTCCCTGTGCAAGCAAGGAGGCGCTCTGTGGGGACCAGTGGTGCTGAGGAAGGGCTGCCATGCCACTAGCTAGCACGACGCCGCAAGAGCACCCAGGCTTCTCGCTGATGCCACCGCCCGCTTCTCCCAGCGCCCCTTCTGCGAGCCTGTCCTGGCCGTGTGCAGCTGCCGGTGGGGGAGAGCTTTGCTGCCCACCACCCCCCAGGCTTTGCTCCTTCAGGAGCACCAAGAGGGTCACTAGGCATTTCTGCCCCCTCCCTGCACCGGGCCGTCCCATTCTGCTCCTGGGTGTAATGCCTTTTCAGACCCTGACTTACAGCTCTCGCTGACAGTAAACCCTTACTTGTTCTGCCCCTCTGCCGCCCCAGCAATCAGCCAGGCTCTGGCAGAGCCATCTGCTTCCCTCCCCTCCCGTCCTGTCCGCCTCCCTCCCCATCTCTCTGGCTCGGGAGACCTGCAGACAGAAGGGAGTTGAACCCCGACTCTGTTGACTCAGCAGCTGAAGCTCTCCTTAAGCTCATGAGAGCTGGCTGGAAAGGCGGGGAGCGCACTAGTCATGGGGGCTGGTTCCAGTGCCGGGCTGGGGGTGCTAGGCTGGGGGTGGCCCCGGGAGCTCTGCCCCCGGGAAGGGTCTGCAGGATTTCTGTGCCTCAGTAGGTTCCAGGCCCCCTTGGCAGGAGCGGGGAACCCTAATGGGCACAGACTGGCTTGACTAAGCTCTCGTGAGAGAGAGTTTAAGGGTTGGCTGTGCTGATGGGACCATAGGAGCACCCAGAGCCTCCAGCGGCTTCTGGAAGGCAGGCGTGCCCGGCCCCCGAGAGCCCCCAGTCTGAGGGGAAAACAAGGCCCAAGGCAGAGTCCTCCAGGGGTGTTGCAGCCCAGAGCAGGGGGCAGCTCCTGAAGTGGGTCTGGGTGGAGAGGGGAAGAAGCCTCACAAGAGGGACAGGGGAGGGTTGGGGTCCTGACGGGGGCAAGGCCACAGCCCGAGAGGCTGGGAAGACACGGACTCAGCCACCGCAGGGGCCCCCCAGTCCTGTGCTGGCATGGGGGGTGGGGGAGGGAGGTCCAGGGCTCACCCCTCAACCACCCTCTTCCCTGTCCCTCCTTTCCTGGCACAACCTCCCCCCTCCGGTGATGCAGCTGCCCCTCTCCCCTGGCTACCTGCCCAGCACAGCCTAGAAAGACTTCTCAGTTCCCTACCTTGCAGCCCCCCAGCCTCCAGATTCGTGACCCTTCCCAGGTATCTCAGAACCCCCAGACCCACTCCCTCCACTGCAGTGGTGGCTCAACCCCTTGCCTTCCACGATAGGAGAGAGAGAGGGAGACAGACAGAAGGAGGCTGGAGCACTTGGATCCCAGTGGGGAGAGGTGGCTGGCAATGATTTATTAGCCAGACAAGAATCAACAAACAAGGTCTAACATCTGTTCTCGCCAAACCATTCCTCAGACAACAGCAGCATTGGACCAGGGCCCAGACCCAAAGGCTCAGAAGGCCAAGGAAATCAGACTCTGGGAGGAGAAGCTGGGCAGTGGGAGGCAGCACGGCCGTCCTGGCACACCTCCTCAGAGGCCCTCGGGTCACCGAGCCACCAACTTCTCAGGGACTCTCGGGATGGAGCCAGTGCGTGTGTCCCTAAAAGGGAGCCGAGTCCACCTCTGCTCCCCTGAACTCCAGGCTTCTTTGGGTGGGGGGGCCCAGACCTGTCCGGGGAGCAGGGCTAAGCTAGGATCTGGAGGAGGGAACGGGCACCCAGGCCTCTGTGCAGTGGAACTCCGGAAAGTAGCCAGATTTCCTATTGGAGGAAATCTCTGACATTTCCCAGAGAGGAGGGTGTGGGGTAAGAGATAGAATGCTGGACAGGGCGACAAGGAAGCCTGGGCCCTAGTCCTTGGCTTTGGCCGAGTCACTGTCCCTCTCTGGCTTTGTCTCCTTATCTGTGGCACCAGGACTTGGCCTGGATCAGTAAGGGCATAAGGATACACTGCTCCTCCTGCCTCCCTGCCCGCAGCAGACATCACTAATCAATCACGATGCTCTTTTCTGCTGAGTTTAGAGATGACCGGAACATCCTTCCCAGGGCAGTGCTCCAGGCAGCCATGACCAATGGATGGCAGTTGGCATGCAAGATGACACCTCTGTGCCATCCTCGCAACAGATGACGGCTGAGGTCCTTGCTAGCTCCCATCGCCTACAGTTTGTTCGGCGGCTGGTGTGCAAAGGTCTGTGGACCTGGCGTCCTGGCTTATCCTCCCCCAGCTCAGACTCACCGGGCTACTGAGGAGGCCCCAGGGGAAGCCACGCCTGTCCTCCGGCCTCTGCCCTCTGTCTAGAAAGCTTGTGGGGGAGGGTGTGCCGGGGCACAGGAGGGCCTCGTCCAGGCACAGCATTTTCCGAGTACGGCGGCCGGCAGCCTAGGTTCTGCGGAGAGAAGGATGATCCAAGGTCATACCCTCTACCCTCAGCCTCTCAGGCCTACCAGCGGCCTCGAGGCCGGCCTCTGGTCTTAACAATGTTGGCCTGCAGAGGTCTAAGCCGCTCTCATTCAGCCACCATTTCCTGAGCACCCGCTCTGTGCCGGGCACTGTGCTGGGTGCTCTGGAAACAGATGAGTAAGGCCCAGCCCCGCTCCCAGGCGGCTTGCACTTTGCTGGGGAAGAGTGGAGACAGGCGTCCCGCGTCACGGGAGGCTCAGCCGCTGTGGCCCTGTCTGGGAAGCCTGCCGGGAGGAGAAGGGCAAGCTGGTCCTGAAGGACAGCCAGAAGGTCACCGGGCAGTGGGAGGGTGTACTCAGAGAGATGTGAACCGCTCTGGGAGGAAGGCGCCGTGGAAGAGGGGGTCCCCTGCCTCCCCCAGTGTGGATGGCCGTGTGGGCCAGGGAGCGGTTTTAGAAAGACCCTTCTGGCTTCGCTGGGGCAGGGGGGAGCAGAAGTGGCGACAGTGGTGGTCAGACCAGTTAGGAAGCTCTTGGGAAATCCCGAGGAGGGATGATGAGGCTGAGGCTGGGAAAGGGACCCAGCACGAACTGGGGCCTATGAGTTGTCAGGGCGGGGCGGGGATGTCTCGGGAGCCCTGGGTGTTCTGGCTTGGGAGAGTCAGGTGACTCAGGGCCCTCAGTCCGGCTGGGAGGTAGAGGAGGGCCAGTCTGGGGAGAAGGGTGAGAGCTGGTTGCTGTGTTGAGTTCAGGAGGCTGTGGGGCACTGGCGGCTGAGCAGGAGCCTGGAGAGCAGTGGGCAGGGACCTGGCTGGGCTGCGGGCTCTGATCGCTAGCACCGCAGCAGGGGCGGGAGTGGGGGAACAGGCTCCGAGGCTGAGGCAGGCCTGGGGCATTCCAGGGAGGGTGAGGAAGGGCCTGCGGAGGGGGCCGAGGCCGGGGAGAGGGTGGGAGTGGCCCGGAGGTCTAACGTAGCCCTGGACGGGGACACGGACTAGCACTGTTCAGAGGGAAGACGGAGGGGATGGTGCGGAGTGGAAGTGGGAGCGGGGAGCGTGGGCCGGTGCCCCTCCCTGAGCTCCTCTGAGATGACAAGAGGGACTCCAAGTTCTCTTCTTCAGGACGGTGGGGCTGTGAAGGTGGAGGGGAGGGAGCCTGCCCGGGAGAGGCCCCAAGTTCCAACCAAGGGTGACGGTTGGACCCAAGATTCGAGGCACAGCGTGGGGTACGGGTGGCTGGGACTAGGTGAGGGACAGGGACCAAAATGCAGGCTGCCCTGGAGGCGGCGGTTCGCCTCCTCCCTGCACCCGGTTACCTGGCCTCCGGGGACGGGCCTGGACCTGCACTTGCGCAGGGCCGGGTGCCCGAGGACGCAGGGCGGGCCCCCAGCGCCCGGCGGCGCCTCCGCCTCCACCTCCGCGTAGACGTTGCCTGGGGCTTCGCCGGGGCTGCCGCGCCCCATGGCGTAGAAGGCGATGGCTTCGTCGGGCTCCTGGTAGATGGGGTTGGAGGGCTTGGGGGGCGGGGCCGGGCGGGGCCTCGGGGCCGGGGTCGTGTACACTTCGGGGGGCAGCTGAGGCTTGGCTGGCACGGGAGGCTTGGGCCTTGGCGGCTGCGCAGACGCGGAGAGAAGGCCAGGCAGGGGGCGGGGTGGGGAGGGGGCGTCAGAGCCACCCAGGCGCGGCGGAGGCTGCGGCTGCGGCGCCCGGGCCCCGCCCACATCCCCGGGCCCCTCCCCTCCCGCAGGCCCCGGCCCCGCGCGGGACCCTTCCTTTGCCGCGCACCCCCTGCTCCTCCCTCAGCCCCTCCCGCCCAATACCTCCTTCTGCTCCCCGGTCCCCTCCTTCTGCGTGGGGGTCACGTTCTGCAACTTCTTGACGATCGGGCTGTACTGAGGGGGTGGGTCCTTGCTTCCAGGGTCTGACCCTTCCGTGCTCAGGGAAAGTCCTGCTGGCTCAGGCGTCTGATGGCAAAGAACGAGGCCTCAGGGACTTGGTGCAGGAGGGGTTGGGGGGAGGCGGCCGGGGGATCCAGGAGGACAGAGCAAGCTGGTGCTGGTGGAGGATGTGTTGGGGAGAGGCACGGAAATGCGGACTGGTGGGGCTCCTGGGTGAGGAACAGGGGATGGAGAGGAGAACAAGGGGACCAAGGTGGGTGGGGTGGGGCGGTTCAAGTAGCTCTGCTCACAGGCTGTGTCTAGCATTGACCTTAAACTGCACCAGGAACACAGGCCAGGCCAGTCTCCATTTGTGCCTGTGGTTGTGAAAATGCAACAAGGCTTGACAAGCCTTTAGCCTAACAACGTTCCGCATGGGGACGGATGTCCCGACTGCCGTGCCTGCGTTTCATTCTGCAGGAGCCAGAGGAGTACTTTGTGGGGGCTTAAGCTATATGTTTTCGGGGCTGAGAGACTGCCTCCAGGAAGATGAACCTTACAGTGGGAGGGTCCCTTCCCATGGGAGCTGGGCTGGAGCCGAGGGTTTGGCTGTCCACAGGCCCCGGCTTCCGGTCTGCTTACGCCACGGGGCTTTCCTCGTGCTTCAGGACCCACGCGGTGCACGTCCACACCTTGAGGTGTGTGAACACTGCAGGCTTCACAGAACCACGTCAGAATTCTCCTTCCCTGCGCCTCCCCCTCCTGTCACCGCAGTCCCTTAATGACTAAAAAGCAGCACCCCCATCCTGCTGCAGAGGCAGCCCCTTAGGAACCCTCCGGTCCCCCACCCTCCGGTGAGGTCTCATTGCCCACAGGCCCTGCTCCTTCCGCTGCCTCAACAACCTGACATCCGCACGCTTCTCTGGGGGTCACTGCCGCCACTCCAGCCCAGGGCTCCCAAGTCCTCCCCTGCCGCATCTTGCCCTGCAATCCAGCCTTCACTCTGCGCCCAGAGTGCGCTAAAGAAATGCCCCCGGTGGCCCTTTGGTGGCTGCCTGTCCTCCAGGGGGATGTCCGAACTCCAGAGGAGTGGGGTGACAAGACCCCTCGGCACCTGATCTGACAGCTGGCACCTGACTGCTCTGCCTCCAGACGTCCCTGCCCCCTGTTCCCACCGCTGGGGATCTCCGTGTCCACAGTTCCTCTTGAAGGTCCATGCGAGACTTGTCCACAGGCACAGTCCCCCCACAGGCACGCTCCCTTGAACTGTTGCAGGATCCCCTCCCCCACCGCAGAGGTCAGCCATCAGTGCAGGAAACCCCCCACCCACCCCCGCACTGTCTTTGCTGGGCTTCCAGAAAGAACACCACATACTCCTGGTTTTTCTTCTTTCCCTCTGGCTGATCCTTCTCAGTTTTCTTTGTAGGTTTGCCCTCGTTTCTGGACACTAAATGCTGGAGACTTGGTATTCCTTTCTTTTCCATTGACGCTCCCTCCCAGCCCTCCTGAAGGCTTTACAGTCAGTCCTTCTATATGCAGATGATCTCTGGCCCAGACCTCTGTCCCAACCTGGTCACTCCCTGTCTTCTTAGCACTGGACATATTACGGATAATCTGTTTCTGTCTTATCGCGGTCTCCGCACTAGAATGTAAGCTCCAGAAGGCAAGGCTGTTCTGGTCAGCTGTTTCTGCGTCCCTGTGCCCAGACCACCGGCTCAGGCATGGTCTTGGCATTGCCTGACCAGCCTCAGGGAGGCACGCCCTGACACGGTCCCTGGCCCGCGGGCCCAGTGGCACTCACTCTGCGTTTCCTCTCATGCCCCTTGATTGCTCTTATCTGCCTTTGCTGCTGGTAAGCGAGCTCTGTGTGTTTGCGGCCCTGTGGTCTTGTCCATGGTCTAGTTCCAGAGCCTGCGGGGTGCTCAGTAGATAGCCCTCACGTGAAAACACAAATGACCACATGTGCCTGCCCTGGTTCCTGGAGGACCCCTCCCCCAGCACGTATCCCTGTCGAAGGGATTCCTGAGGCCACAGGGTGGACAAAGGGCCTATGGCTGGGTCGCAGGCCAGGATGAGAAGGCTGCTGTTGTAGCCGGGCTCCCTGGGGCTGGGGGCCGGGCGTACCTGGCGGATGAGGGGCTCGGTGAGCGTCTCCCCGTAGGGGCTGAGCGGGCATGCCGTGTAGTGTCGCAGCAGGTCCTGGAGCCGCGCGTGGGCGCTGTCCTCGCCCAGCACCACGTGGCGCCCGTCCTGGAGCTGGGCCAGCAGGAAGTGGCGGCAGCGAGTCCGGCTCCTGGAGGGCGCCCGTGGGATCAGAGACCCCGGAGTGGAGCCAGGCCCTCCCTCCAAGCCGAAGCTCTGCCCCCGGGCCCCCCACGGGGAGGGGCATGGCCCCTGCTCCCGCCCCGCCCCTCACCTGTAGGTCAGCACGAAGGTCACAGCGCTCTCACTGAACCGCACCAAGTAGCATCCCTCAGGCTTGGGCTCCAGCAGCCTCTCTGCCTCCCTGTGGGTGAGGAAGACTTCCAGCCTTGGGTCTGTCTGCGGCTCTAAGGAGGACCCCAAGCCCCAGCCCAGAGGGCTCAAGTGGCAGAGGAGGGTGGGGATGGCAGAGAGGACCGGGTCTGCTGTCCCGGGTGGGGACTGGAGAGCACAGTGGGGGGCTGGGGAGGCAGGGGTCCCACCCAGGAGCGCTCCCAGCCTGCAGCCTCATCCTGGAGGGCAGCCTGGTGGAGGTGCCCTGGGGTGGTGATAGACTTGTAGGTTTCTGAAGTCACAGGGTGAGCTGGAAGAGGGGAATCAAAGCTGAGAAATACAGGAGGGACAGCCTGCCAGGGAGACGAGGAAGAGCAGAGGCCGGAGAGGGAGGGAGGCTGGGAGGCCTGGGAAGCCATGGGGACTGGAGGCCAAGAGACAGGAATGGAAGCAGAAGCCCCAGAGTGAGCAGGCCGTGGCCTCCGCAGGGACCTCCCCCAGGACAGATGGCTCCAAGACTGGCCTGGGAGCCTCCAGGATTCAGGGCTGGACTTGCAGCCTCCACGCCCTGTTGCTGGGCCCGGGGACCCAGGGCTGGCCCTGCCCCTCTCTGGGCCCCTTTCCGCTGCTGTGACTCACCTCCGGGTGATGAAGCCGTGGAACCAGGCAGGGGCTGCCCCGTGCTGCAGAAGCCAGTGGGCCTGGGTCTTCTGGAACCACGCCCGGGTCTCGGCCTGCAGGGACTGGCCTCCTTCCTCCGGCCCCTCCTCGGCCTTCCCAGCATCCTCTGGGCTGGAGGCAGCCCCCGGGGGTTGAGGAGGTGCCTGGAACAGGAAAACAGCCGTGATTTGGGGGCTTCCTCCTGATGCCAGCCAGCTGCCGCCTCCTCAACCTTACCCCTGCTCCCCATCCCAGTTGCCCATTTTAGGCTATAACTCAGGGACCAGCTTAAAACCCCTTCTTCAGCTCTAATTGCTTTGGTTTCCAGAGAATTTCTGTCCACTTCCCTCTGGGCCTGAGGGCCTGTAACCCGGTTGCTGTGACCTCTTAGCCTGAGCCTTCCAGAAGGACAGGAACTCACTCCTGGCCTGCAGGATGAGACGTGATGCTCCCTGTACCCCAGTGGACAGAGCGAGGGAGGACTCACCCTCCCATAGGAGGGGCTGGGCTGGATCTGAGGGAGGACTTCCTAGTGGCCGGCTGGGTGACAGGGACTGAGGCCCAGATGCACTGGGCAGGGAAGGCCACGGACAGAGATGCAGACACCTGCTTCTGGGACCCGATACCCTGTACCTGGTCGCCTGCAGACTCAGCCCCAATGCCGCAGGGACAGTGAGGGGACATGATGGCGAAGGAAGGAGATGCTCCCCACATCCTCTCCCTCTGTCCCTCCTTGACCCAGCCCTGTGGGCTGCCCCAGCTCATCCCTGATTTCTCCCTGTTGGCCTTGGTCCATTTGCCGATCCTCACCGGTGGGGGGATGGGAGCCGAGGAGGACGCTGTGCCTGCTGGGGTCCCGCTCACCGCAGCGTGGACAGCCGTGACCCTGGGGTTGGGCTGGTCCTCCTCAGCCTTTGGGGCCTGGAGCAAAGCCACTTCCCGGCAACCCCTGCGGGGCAATTCCATGGGCTGGAAGGTGCTGAAGGTTGGGGGAGGGGCTCTGCTGGTCCCTGTTAGGGCAAAGAGGACAGCTGGAGTCTCTTGGGGAGGGACTGCCTCTCCCCCAGGCTCCAGGGCCCCCCCCCCCCCCGTCCCCTGCAGGCCTCTGACCAGGGACCTGGAGGACAGGGACAGTCAGGGTCTCTCAAGGGGGAGGAGTAAGGAGCCAAGGAGGCCCTGGTTGGCCAGGGAGACAGGTGTGGGGGAGCAGAGAGTCCCACCGTGCAGGGTGCCTGCTGCAGGGGTGGGGGAGGGTGGCATGACCTCTCTTTATGGTCAAGATCCTCTGCCTCCCAGGCCTCGCTCTCCTGTTTCCTCCTCTCAGGAAGCACTCAGCAGACCCAGCCACCTATGTCCCCAGGGCTGAGCAGCCCGCGCCCCAGAGAAGGAGACGGATCTGCGGGCACCCTGCCAGTCAGCCAGGCCAGCTCTGGCTGGGATGGGGCCCTTCCCCCCACCACGAAGTGGGAGCTCAGGCCTGGAGCCAGCAGGGGTGATGGGGGTCTGGACGTCCCTCCACCCACAGTCTCCAACCTCACACTTACCTTGGGGGCATAGCTGGGCCAGGGGGAACTCCATGGGGCCGGGCTGAGAACAGAGCCCCTGGGGCTGGGCGCGGGTTTGCGTGTGTGTGTGTGTGTGTGTGCGCGCGCGTGTGTGTGTGTGTGCACGCGCGCGCGCGCTCTGAACAATGTGCACACTCAGCAACTCCTCTCTCTCACCCCGGCCCCCAAGGGCAGGAAATGTCGCCTTACCCACAGCCCCAGCCCTGGCAGCGGACCCACGTCATGGAAAGCCGTGAGACACTTGTCCCTCCCCCGGAAGCCAGACAGCTGAAGGTGGTGGTGGTGGGGTGGTGGGTATTTGTGTCAGTCTGTCTTTGGGTTTTGGGAAGTCCTGACTGCCATCTGACCTCGATCCATGCTGTTTCTCCCTCTGCTCCCTCACTCTGGACCGGGACTCCCTTTTCTCTCTCTGCCTCCCTCCCTGTCTCTCCCTTAGCTTCTGCTCTAAGCAGGGGCCATAGGGGATGTCAGCCTCAAAAGGATAAGCCCCAACAAGGTGCCTGGGTTTTGGGCTCCTGGGAGATTCCAACACAGAATTATGCTCTTAGGACACATGAGGAGTGAAGGGGGCAGGGCTGCAGCAGGGAGGGTGTGGGGCAGGACTTTCTGAGGTCATATGAAATCTGTGAGATAAGGGGGTGGCTTCACCTTCAGCAGATAATGAAGCTGGGTTAGGGCAAAACCCAGCAATCCTGGGGGAAGGAGGGACAGTCCTGGGGGAAGCAGGTCGTGATCAGAAGTGACATTATTAGCAGTTACTGTAACATCGATGCTGACTTCTTTAAAGATTTTATTTATTCATTTGACAGACAGAGATCACAAGCAGGCAGAGAGGCAGGCGGAGAGAGAGGGGGAAGCAAGCTCCCTGCTGAGCAGGGAGCCGGTTGGGTTACGGGGCTCGATTCCAGGACCCTGAGATTGTGACCTGAGTCGAAGGCAGAGGCTTTAACCCACTGAGCCGCCCAGGCGCCCCCAGCAGATCCTTCTTGTGACGGCGCAGTGGGCAGCGGGGCGGGGCGGTGGGGGGCTGGTGCTGTGGGGCTGGGCTGGCGGGTCGCGCCCGCATGCGGGGAGCACTGGGCCCCCAGAGGAGGCAGTTGAGTGGAGTCAGGGAGGGCGAGCAGGGTGGAAGGAGGTGGGCAAAGGAGGTTCTAGAAGAGGCACCAGCGTTGCAAATGTGTGTAAGAAGGAATGGGCGTGGCGTGCGGGCACCAGCAGGGGAATGCTGGGGGGGCCGGGCTGGCTTGGGGGCTGCAGCGAAAGTCCCCGAACCTGGGCTATCAGCTGCCCTGCATCCCGGAGGGAGGTGGACACCAGGCTTGCAACCCGAAGAGCTCGGGGCAGGGGAGCACTTTGCCCAGGGTCACGGCCGGCCGCCCCGTCCACACCCCAAGACCTTCCCTCCCCAGCTGCCTGCTCCCTCTTCCTGAAACACTGTCGCCTTCCCCTGGTCCCAGCCCCCAGGGGTTGGCGATGAGATGGAGAGGTGCCCTCCATGCCCTCCCCAAGCCCCTCACTGTATGCTCTGGGAACCACCCCCCACCGCCCGCCACACTGATGCACGTCACAGTGATTGCAACGGATGCATTTCTCGCCTTTCACATGGACTCACTCCCACGGCTCTTTGTCGGGAGGCCTGGGCCCAGGCCCGCAGCCCGGTTCGCGGAGGGAACTCGGAGACCAGGCACAGCTCGCCCTCGCACCACAGCTCTGTGCAGATTAAGACAGGCCTCTCGTCCGATGGAGGTCGCTGGGACAGGCTTAGTCTCTCTGAGGCTGCAACTGTTCCTTTACCTGTGTCTTCGTCCCCCTCTACCCTCCTGCCGGGGTCAGCCTGGGCAATCGCTCCATCCCTCCAAGCTTCTGGGGCCTCATCTGGAAAATGGGGCGAGAACAGTTCTCCAGAAGGGTGGCTGTGGGGGTTCCACCGGGAAGTGGGCGCCAAGCAGCCGAGGGTCGGTCTGACCGGATCCCTTCTTACCTGCCAGCTCCCGGCACCGTGAGGGGCACTGGTGACCTCTGTCTCCTCATGGCTGCGGTGAAGTCCAGACCACACGTCTCCCCCTGGCTGGGCTTGTGGAGGCCGGGGTCTGGGAGCCCCTCAGCCCTACACACGGCCGGGCAGGGACCAGGAAGGGCTCGAGAACACACATGCTATGGCACCTGGGGGGCTCAGTCGTTAAGCGTCTGCTTTCGGCTCAGGTCATGATCTCAGGGTCCTGGGATTGAGTCCCACATCGGGCTCTCTGCTCAGCGGGGAGCCTGCTTCTCCCTCTCCCTCTGCCTGCTTCTCCCCCTGCTTGTGATCTCTGTCAAATAAATAAACAAAATCTTAAAAAAAAAAAAAAAAGACCATGTGTGTTAGACCACTTGTGTGCTATCCCCTACCCCGACCCCGAGATGCTTTCCTTGAGGCCCCACACGTATTACTGTGAACGGCCGTAATGAAACACCGCAGACTACAGGAATTTATTTTTTCACTGTTCTGGAGTCTGGGATTCCAAGGTCAAGGTGCCAGCAGGACTGGTTTCTGCTTAGAACTCTCTTCTTGGCTCACAGATGGTCGCCTTCTTGCTGTGTCTTCACATGGCCCTTCCTCTGTGCTGCTGCAGGGCAGGTTGGGGAACATGCCGGAGGTCTCTTCCTCTTCCTACAAGGACACCCGTCCTAGCCAATCAGGACCCCACCCTTGTGACCTCATTGAGCCTTCATTACTTTTTTTTTTTTAATTTTATTTGTCAGAGAGAAAGAGAGCACAAGCAGGGGGAGCGGCAGAGGGGGAAGCAGGCCCCCACTGAGTAGGGAGCCTGACGCAGGGCTAGATCCCGGGACCCTGAGATCATGACCAGAGCCGAAAGCAGACGCCCAGCCACTGAGCCACCCAAGCGTCCCACCGTAATTCCTTCTTTAAAGGCCCTCTCTCTCCAGACAGTCACACTGGGGGTCAGGGCTTTAACATCTGAGTTTTAAGGAGACACGATACAGCTCACACACCAAATGTCAAAGCCCATCCTCTCCACTCAAAGAGCTTGAATCCTAAGACAGGCGGAGTCCGCGTGGTCATTCAAAGCTGTCGTGCCCAGAGCCACCTGCATCCTCTGCGAAGCCGTGGAGAGAGCTGTCCTGTGATGGGGTGGCTGGGTGGAGGCGAGGGCCGGGGTGCAGGTCGAGGGGCGTCTGGGTTGGGCCGTGATAAGAAGTCAGGGGTGAATGTCCGTCCTCCCCAAGGCAATCTCTAGGTTCAGTGCGGTCCCTGCCAAAATTCCAACGGCCCTTGTCACAGAAGCAGAACAAAGCTGAATGTGTGTCTAATCATGGAGACGCAGAAGGGCCAGAGCAGTCTCAAGAAAGAACAAAGCCGCAGGCATCGGGCTTCCCGGGCTCAAACCGTGTCACAAACCAGTAGTTACCGAGGCAGGATGGCACGGGTATGAGACAGACCCACAGGTCGACGGGACGGAAGAGAGAGCCCGAAACCACCCACCACGCACGGTCAGTCACTTCATGACCGAGGGGCTGAGAATACACAGGGGGGACGGGTGGTCCCTTCGGTAGATGATGGGGAAACTGGACGGCCCCATGCAGGGGAATGAGACCCGACTCCGATCTCACACCAGGAACAAAAATTAACTGAAAATAGGTTAAAGAGGGGCGCCTCAGCAGCTAGTCAGTGAAGCGGCTAAGGTCTGCTTTCGACTCAGGTCATGACCTTGGGGTCCTGGGAGGGATCCCTGTGTCGGGCTCCCCGCTCGGTGGGGAGCCCGCTTCTCCCTCTCCCCCTGCTGCTCCCCCTGCTTGTGTGCGCTCTCTCTCTCTCTCTCAAATAAATACAATCTTTAAAAAAAATGGATGAAAGACCCAAGATTAACAGAACAGGACCCGAAAGCATCGAGGTCCCAGAAGAAAACGAAGGTGGGAAGCTCCTCGACATCAGTCGTGGTGATGACTTCACGGGTTTCACACCCAAAACAGAGACGACAACAGCAAAACGAACAAGTGCGACTCCATCACGCTAAAAAGCTTCTGTACAGCCGGAAACCACCAACAACATGAAAAGGTAACCTACCGCATGGGAGAAAATAGTTGCAAATCCTATCTCCGGGAAAGGATTAAGCCCCAAAATATGTAAAGAACTCATAAAACGCCATAGCAAAAAGCCCACAAACCAACGTGGTTCACAGATGGGCAGAGGATCTGGATGGACAACTTCCCGAAGAAGACAGTGTTGGCCGGTGCCAGGCAGGGCCTCCAGCTCCTGGAACATCGGGGAAATGCCGCTCGAAACCGCTGGCCGGCTGGCAAGGAGGGGGCGGCTGGCAAGGAGGAGGTGGCTGGCTCCGTGGATGTCTGGCCTCAGGCCTGCACAGCCGTGGACTTGGCCTTGGACTTCCCACTTGACTGATGAGTTGAGCGGAGGCTCAAAGTCGGCTCTCGGAAACTTTCCGGAGCACATTAGTATGTTCAGTTGACATTCAGTTCGGGTCTGGCTCCCAAGGCCGTGTTCCATCTCCAACGCTCTGCCCTTTGCTGCTGTCCTGGGGTCGTCCGGGGCGTGTGTTGAAAACATGTTCGGTGCTGGAGCCCCTCCGTTTTAAGGGCTACAGGGTTAAGGAAGACCCAAGGAGGTGGAGACCCACAGGGAAACCAACCCAGGTAATTCGGATTGATGGGAATTAACTAGAAGCCTGGGTGGGGGTGGGGGTGGGGAGCGGGATACTCTGCCTGGAGCCAGGTTGTACGAGGCCAAGAAAGCCTTTGGAGGGGAGGTGGTCCCCGAGAGAGCGGGTTTGGGGGAGTCTGGTGGTGCTCAGCATGAAGGAGCACAGATGGGTGGGGGAGGGTGCAGGGCTCAGAGGTCCTCCGGGCAGGAGTGAGCATGAAGGGCAGGGAGCCCCAGACACAATGCCGAGGGCACCCGCCGGGCTGCTTTGTCTTGGCTCCTGGGTCCTGGGATCCCCGGGGGGCTTCCAGCAGGGAAGTGGTGAGGTGGGACTAAGCCCTTGCTCCTCACCTTGGCAGCTGTCCTGGGGCGCTGGCCTCCCCACG